AGTCGTTGTTCACAAAAAGGTACAAAGGATGTTGACGACGACCGTAAACATAACCAATCAAATCAAGTCTATATATAAATATGACCCGGGGCCCCCACAAACATTAAGCCGGCTAGCTACCAGACCAGGCGAGCGTTAGTCCAAGCGGCCATTAAGCCGAGCGACCATTAGGGCGGGCGCCCAATAGAACGAGCGACTGCTTGTTGAAGATCGGTTCTAACTGCTTTGGAACTAAATGTTTGGTTTCACCCATCGGGTTGGTGGATGCCAGATTCATCTGCATGAGTTTGGTTGGATAGATTCTTTTGGAGCTGATCTACTCTTATCCATCTAATAGGTATAATTCTACTGGTACGCTAGTGCTAGCTAGTTTGGAGATATCATTGAAATTTATGCCGACATATTTTTAATATACAAATTATATTTAAAATTAGGCAGTCCAAACATTACTATTTATATATTTAATTCCCTTTTTATTCATTTTTCAAAATCTCACTCAAATATCAAAATTGGTGAAAAAATCAATGTTATCACATCTCACTTATTTGATTGAAGCTCACGCGAATGACCTGTTGGGTCGTTCTGGTGTTAATTTTGTAACAAGCAATAAAGCAATAACTATGTAATTATTCCTTATTAAATATAGTTGTGACTGCTGACCGCGACAACACAAATTTTGTCGTCGGCGATCTAACGCCGTCAAATGGACGGAAAAAACGACCGTATACTGCTTGCACGGCGTGGAAAGAAGCTTGGACAGGTAGAGAGAGATTGAAGTGGGGAACCGTACTATAAATGATGGGCGTAGTGGATGGAGAGCTTATCCACGGCCTTTGCCTTCTTCACTTCCTCTCCAGATCTGCCCTGAGCTTGCTATTGTATGGCAGTAACCGGTTACAAGGGGCGAGTGATCGCTGAAAGCTTTGGGAAGCGACTTGCGATTCAGATCTGGACCGCCAAGCTTCGCGATCTTGCTCCGTTCTCCATCTTCAGGTATTAATTTTTTTCTACCGCTAGAGCTTGATCTTCCGCGTTAGTTTTTAGGTTAATCTGTTTGCTTCCCGATCTAATATTTTTTGTGTAGATTTTGCTTGGATCTGTCAGATCCAACTTCTTTGAACTCTATCAAGTACTTCATCGATGGATTTGAGCATCGCTTTCGAATCGAACTCACTTTGATATGAGTGGATTTTGCTCGAATATGTTTACCCCATCTCTATTATGTTTCGTCTGCTCTTTAATTCTTTTCCCTTTCTTGACTAAAATGTAGTTTTACTGATTTGGCAGTTTCATGGTTTCGATTCTTTCCCCCTTTTCCTCGCTCGGACAAAAAAGCCCTGTTTAATCTGAAAATTGAAAACAGCGTAGGAAAAAAAATGAATAAATTGGGGTGATATCCTGATCAAAACCTTGGTTGACTTTACTATAAACTTAATCTAATATGAACTTTATTCAATCAACAATTCACATTTAATGGTCGGTTTCTCTGAATAATTTTCGTGCGTCTTCTAATTCGTCTAAAGTTAAGGTAAGCATCGTCAATCACCAAGAAGGAAGAAGAAGAGTTTTTGACGCTTACTGGTTAAAAGATATGATCGCATTTAAAATTATGATTTTGTGCCACTTCTTTGAAATTCATCGTTAAAAAAATATAATATGCCGCAGCAATATTCATTACTTTGTCCCGTTACTCGCACGCAGACACGTGCTGCAGACACGTGCTATATTCGATTCTTTCTTTTAATTCTCAACCATTTCTTTTCTTCAGGAGGGCATCGCACTTTGCTTCGCACTACGAGAAGGAGATTGACGAGCACGTGAGGCCGGCCGTGGTGCCGGATCATGTGATAGAGGCTAGTTCGGAGAAGTACTGGAGCCCACATCCGACCACCGGCGTCTTTGGCCCCGCCGATCTGATTGGCGTTGCCGGTCTCCGCCACCCGCCGGCGTCCGGTAATGGTAGCTCGTCTGCTCTGGACCAGACCGTCCGGTTCCGCCCCCTCGATCTCGAGGACCTCGACAAGTCTCAGCACGTTTAGCTCTCGCTGGATTCTGCCCTACTTCTCCCGATTATAATATTATTATGCCATCAATATTAGATAAATAAATAAAACATGGAGTGCGGGGGTATGCGTAAAATGTGCTCCCTGTGTTTCTGTGGGGCTCCGTATGCTTTTGAGTTCCCGGTTACCTACTTGCTGTGTAATGGAATTGATATAATTATGTTGATATTGCATCTTATATGTACGGACTTGAATATCTTGCATATATATAGTTTGGTTTAATATATTGATGCGTGCTGATAGATTTATGTCGGAAGATTAATTATTTAGCATCTTAGTACTGCATGAAATTTCAAAACATGCTCTTATAATAAAAGTAACGATAGAGACACTCAGAGATTTTTAAGTGAAAAATTTGAAAGTGAAAATTAGGGTCTAGCCTAACTGAAATAATTCATTATAAATTAGTGATTAAACGTCTAAACTTTTGTCCCACAGGCGGAAAAGAGTTAACAAAATTATTTGAAGTACAATAATTGTATGCAGAAGGATTCGTTGTACAACGATTAGAAACGATTTCAATTGGGACTAGTTTGGACTTTTTTGTGTCACATTCAAGGTGTGTTGTGGCACAGTATTTGGGATGATGCATTGCTTCGAAGGGTACCTCGTGGTATTTACTCTGCACCATGCTTTGTTACTTCGGAGGGTACTTTGTGATTTCTTGAGAAGTTTCATTGAAACAAGCAGAAAGCACCCGAGGTGGCCGGTGAGTGTTGGTCGATGGGTCACTGATTGTGAGAGCGGGAAGTGTTTGTCAGGTATTTAGTCTAAAACAACACTAGAATTCAACTTCTTTGTGATCCAACTCCAAATCCAGCTCTTCTTCTGGTTCAAGGCTTAGGTACCCTTTTATGAAGGGGTTAGAACTCTATTTGTAGAGTATGGGGGAGATCTTTCTGCAAACAAGAAGGAAATTTGGACCACTTTGCCGGAAGGCCCGGAGAAATTCTCTCGATCAAACGATATTTTATGGATATTTGTGTTTTAAAGATGTTAAAATTCAGTGATCTTAGCCTCCTTGGACTTGTCTAATTGAGATATTCAATTTGACTATAAACGCATTTGTTTTGTAATTTATTTGAAATTCTAATTGGGCATCAGAAGCATCTAAATATAGTTAAATGACTTGATCTGAGCTTTATTTGATTCAAATTGAATCAATTTTGGTGTTATTGTGTCTGTTTTACTGAGTATGGGTCAGTTTGGCGTAGCTGTTGATTATTTATAATCTGTTGATAAGCAGGTTATTCTGATAATCTGATAATCTGCAGATTATCAGAATAATTTGACTTGCTGTTTGGGGCAACTTATTTAGAGTAGCTTATTGGTGGTTAAATGACATTTCTGTTTCCTCCCCCTAATACAATGACATTTCTGTCTCTGCCTGATAAAACTATTTGAGGCAGCTTATTCAAAATAGCTTATTGATAGTACAAAAATAAGTGCATAAGCATACAATCATCACAGATCAGTTCCAAAAGATGACATACAATTCTCACACTTTTGTGAGTACCAGAAGAAATAAAAAAAGTAACAGAAATTCCTGCAAAATTTCCACCGCACAATCAGCAGCTAAACATATATATAACTTCACCAATTTGTTTTCATGGACTCATATTTCAGCAGCTAAAAAGTTAGATACCTCCCATCAAACAAACAGAGCTATAACCAGAAAAAAAAAAACGACACAATATCATGCCACAAAACAAATGCCCAAAATCAGACTCGACTCATGTTTCCAGGATCGCTTCCAAGATCGCAGCTAGCAACCCAAATCCAACAACCAGTTAAAATGATAAAATATCGGGGCATAGAAATTGAAACATTTCTCAACAGGCCAAACGCCCAAAAACCAGCGAAAATGCCAGAAGCCACAGGATCCGAAAAAAAACTCATGTCATAGATCTAAACTGGGCAATACCTAAAAACCTTAAATGACATCATATTTCCCCTGAAAAAATAAAAATTTTCATTTTCTGCGTCAACACTTACTCAGAAAGAAGATCAGAGCAAAAAAAACATTCCAAGGCTCGCATCTGGGGTAATCGAAAGGATACCTGATGATCATGAAAGAAAATGAAAAAGAAGAAGGTTCGGTCTCCTCTAGGGCGACGTAACAGAACCCTAAACCAGCGAGGGAGAATGCAAGGGAGATTGAGGGCACCTCCGAAATTCCTAAGGCAACGCAGATGGGTAACGCCGGACGTGGGGCTCGGACAACGTCGAACGACATAAAGGAATTAACGAACGCAGACACAATGCATGATCGTTATGCAGGTGCGAACGCTTTAAAAAAAACAGGGAGGCGGCGTTTTAAAACGCCGCCGCGTCGCCACTCTCAATAAGCTGCTCCAAACGGGCCCTAAGTCTGTTTGACTGAAATTTTATTGAAATTGGAGTTATGGATAATTATTAATTAGAGTTTAAACATTTATTGCTAAAAAATATTCTAGGATTCATGTAAATTGCTTCGATCAAATAATAAATTTTATTGATAACGTATCAGTTGCCCCTCAATTTTTCGGTGATTTCACTTGTTTGTACAAAAATTATCAAAATGATAGAAATTTCAAATAAATTGGGAGAAATTTGAAGCTTCTCACAAGCGGTAAATGATGGCGGCAAATATTAGATCTGCACTAACTCTGAGCAATAGGAGACACAAAACCACATGAACACATATGCTTATGATTTAAAATTATATATAAATATATAAAATATTATTATATAGATAATATATATAATATATTATTATATAAATGATATATATAATTTTTTATTTCAAGCTAAAATGAGCGAAACACCAGCGAAAAAGGGGTTGTTTGTGTTCAGTTTGTTTATGATTCGAACTTTAAAAACTTGATCGTGTTCGGCTGGTTTACTTAACGAACGAGTCAAACATAGGCTATTTAGCAAATAGAACATGAGTTGTTCGCAAACAACAAGCTTTTTTGACATCCCTACTCGCATGTCATTCGAATTAGCATATAACACGAATTACATACACCCAATTGTCACATTACAATTAGCAAACATATTACATATAAAACTAAAATGAACCTTCAATTACAACAAGTTAATTCAAGATAAATATAAAAAAAAAATTTGCTAGTGTACATAAACAATATATGATGGTTGATCTTGAGATCTAAATGTCCAGAGAAAAGGAGTACGACAAGGAAAGGGTCGACAAATGGTTGAACGTGAGGTCGACTTATTCAACCGATAATAGTTGCCCAAGCCAAAACTAACAAAGCCAAAACATAATCAAATTGCCCAAACCCAAACAGTTCAGTCAGAAACGAGACAGGGGGAATTCGAGTCAACCGGTACGAAGAAGCCGACTCAAGGGAAAACTCAGTCTCTCAATATTTCATATCAAATCGGAAACGTCTAGAAATATTTCATTTATTATCAAGGATCAACATCGAACTTAATCAGCCTAGTCGACCAAGCTGATCCAAAGCCAATTATGCTTAGCCGACCGAGCCAAAGCGCAACCTAGTGATAAGCTTTTATATGTAAAATACCAAAAATACCCTAATATAGACCCTTTTAAAGCATGTGTAACAATATAATATCATCTCAACTATAAATTGGGAGACCATTTTATGAATAAACAAGTTCAAAATGATGTTTTGTTGTTCATTAATGTTCACACTCTCCCCCTACACTCTATTCTTTAGGTTTGATTTACAGACAAAAGTGATTCAACAACTAGTTTATCCATAATAATTTATATCCATTCAAAATGAAAGAACTATACACACATACTGTGTTAGGTTTGAACCTTAACCAAAAAAAAAAAAAAAAAAAAAAAAAAAAAAATTTTTTGTG